CCAATGTAGTAGTTTTATACTCTTCCAGATCTACTCAAAGCTTGCGTCTTTCCCGCACAATGAACGGAAATCTTTTGGCCGATAATACATTTAATAATAGTGGAACATGGCACTTCAGCATCCACCTCACTTTCACTACACATCTCTGTAACCCATCCATGAAAAGTGAAACTTGTGATAAAATAACCGATTTAAGGCGGGTCCCAAGAAGAAAACTACGAGTATTTTCTCAAGAAACTCAACAAAACCATATAAGCACATATAGTTTCTTTAAATTAGGTGTTTTGTAAAAACTGTTAAATCTAGATTATTTCATTTGCATTCTGCATGCTGCGACTTTTTCAAAGTGTATAAAGATGTACGCACACTGATGGGGTCCGCAGACTTCTTCATACGTTCTCTGCAAAGTATTCGAATATTTATAATCAAGGCTATTTTGCTAAAGATTGTAGATACATGTTTCATCAGAAAATGTTTTACAAAAAGTTTTAATAGCAAGAATTGCTAGAAATATTGTTTAAAAAATCTGATTGCATCACACGATTGCGAGCAAATGTATATTTTTAAAGAAAAGTATATAGTATTTGTTGAAATGTAACCTTCCATTGTACTATAATACCACTATTATATTTTTGTTAAAACGTATTGAAGAATAGAACATTATGAGATGATAAGCTGTATTGCATAAATACACGTTTTGAAAATTAGTGACGTTAGGAGAGAGTTTTTCAAATTTATACAAATCACATTAAGCAACATTATAAATGAGTTCTTTAGGCTATGTTTTGTACAACAGTTTTGCAAATTTATAAAATAATCAAAGTTTATTTATTGAAAATAAAGTTAAAGGCAATATGGACAACGATATGTGGTTTCCTACCACACTTTAACGATTCTCTGTCTTCAATTCGCTGTAAATGAGATGACTGAATTATTTATGGCACAAACACTATTACTACATAATATTTTAAATAAAATGACTTCTTATAAACGATTTCTTGCAACAAAGAAGGTCGTTTATAATGCTAGTGTATTACAAAAAGTAGCCAGCCTCAATAGTTTAAAGTTTTGTGATGAATAGAAAAACTATATGATCTCCAAAACCGAAAAAACTACGAAAAGTTTTCACGACATCTTTCAATTCTAGAAAATAAAATTAACCATAAAGACTTTTCCTCATTATACAATAACTACATTGCAATTTTCATAATCTTCATTAGTATTGCATTTGTCAAATTTGTTTGAAATGGCGATAGCAACAAAGATGCAAAACACAAGCCACTTGTAGCACACTCTTGTCGGGAACAACGAATCCTCGAGAATGACGGATCTCGTCCGTTGACATTTCGCCTCTGGAGGCCAGCACGTGAACAATTTAACTCTCCGGGATTGTCAAGTCCCGACTTTCGAATTCTCCTCTTGTAAAAATTCGATCTTATTTTGAAAATAATACTTTACTTTAGTTTTATACACAGGATTTATAAGTAAAAGGTACTTTTAATCGTGAGAAACTAGTGTCATCTTTATTACGATTGAACTAACCTATTTATATTTGTAAGTAGGTACATTTGATTTACATTTGTAAATAGGCTAATTCAATCGTAATAAAAATGACACTTGTGACACTATGAATTTTTCGAACATATTAGGACTTACGCAGTATCTACGTCAAATATGTAATATATAAAAATTTAATCAATTTATAGTTACACGCTTTGATAATGATATCAAATGGAGACATCCTCTACCGCGTCTGGATGTCTTAATTAATTGCATTAACCGATAATTTAGTTTTTAAAAATGTTAAAAGAGTACTCTCTCAAAATAAGATCCGAAGTGTTTTTACGGAATATATTCATGACTTCCTTTTTTTAATCAGTAAAATTACGAAAATAGTTTTCAGGTTCAATCTAATAAACTGATTGACAGAGAAAAGATTATTTTACTGCACGAGGTATTGATATGCAATAAAGCATGTTTCTTCATGCTCTTTGATATCTCAGTCTTCGAGAACAAACGAAGACAATTACTTTGCCTGAAGCCTTCAAAGAAAGTAGTAGGTGAAACTCCATTTCAATGTCAAAGGTAACTGGTTAGGGAGTGACGTTCAGGGAGTTTCGACCAGATCGGCGTTATCAGGATGATGAAACTGTCTCATCAAATGGAAGTGACACTAAACGAGATTCGAAAGTGAGGCGATTGCGTTCCGAGCGGAAAGTTGTTTGCATACGATGATGAACGCGCATTTTACAACTCGCGTATGTGGCAAGTGCCCTAAGCGTTATACATTGTAAGAGAGGAAGCGAGGTCTTTGCAGGCCTTTGTGCTGCCTTCAAAGCAATTTATTTTACTTAAACCTTACTTCCATCAGTCACCATAATCATGCGAGAAACTACACAATGTACTTGAGTGAACAAAACGACACAGCCTAGTTGGCTGTGAAGCTTAAAGTAAAAAATTCCTGTTATTGAATAAAATGCTCGTATTTTCTGGTTTTCAACGTTCTTTAAGTAACTTTTATTGCATTTGTAAGGTTATAGGCTCGCTGACCACCTTGTAGTTTTGCATAACTGGCGGATCCGGGGGTGGGGGGGCATGAGGGCCACATATGAAGCTAGTAACTGTAATAATTTCGCCGCTCCCTAATTTAACATTTTGCATTTTTTTACTGTGCATGTCCGGCAGCCGCAGGGTGGCAAATGAATGAAAATTGCCAAGGGACCGGAAGCGTTTGTTGGGAAGGTGGCGGCAAACCAAAGTGTGTTAGCTACGACAGCAGCGCTGCGCATTGCAACGGAGCAGACACAATAGTTTGCCCAGGGGTTAGCAGCACTACTATGCTTTTTTACGACCATATCTCTGGATGAATTTCTGAAGGAGAAAAATCGAACAATGACAACTTGAAATATTGCGAGCTAACGCACAGGAAATACCATTTGAACTGCGAGATTGTAGTAATGGTAGAGAAGTCTTTGAACGTTTTGAACGCCACGGAAATATTACATTTGTATCATTCAAGCAAAAACAGAAAAAATCATTTAGTTTCTTAGCACACATGCATCAGGGCGAAGAAACAATTACAAAAAAGAACCTTCACAATTAAAACAGGCCAAGTTCAGTTGGCATGACTTTGAAAAATTAAGCTTCAAAGTTTTCGACATATAAACAATCCCAGTAAATTAATTAAATAGAAACAAACACTGTGCGAAAATATGAAAACTAAGAACTTGATTCACTAAGATAGGGTACAGAACATCCATTACCATATAATCACGTTATTACAATCTTCTTAAAAAGTGGACTCGGTCTGTTATAGTTATTTACCCTTAAATTATTCTCGCATCTAACAAAACAAAGACTGGAGTTGGTTCAGTGCCCGTGATGACACACGGGAACAATTGCTGCGCTTATCTTACCTTAAAGATGATGCTGGAAGCGGTGTCCCGCTCGAATGCATTCCTGAAACCTAGGGAACACATTTGAATTCTCTTTTCAGATGAAGCATGGTTTCATCCGGGTGGATACAGCAGACAAAACACCTGCTATTGGAGAGCAGAAAACCCTCACCTGCCTCACGAAGAGTGGTGTGCGTTGAGTTCTACAAGATTTATAGTACCTACGTTTTTCAGCACCGCCGTTACTGTTGATGTTAACATAAATCAGATGTTGACGTTATTCTTAACACCACAAGAAAGGCTCTATTGTTACTTTCATCAGGACTTGGCAACTGCTGACTGAGGGAGAATACGTTTTCTAGGTACCAAGAATGAATTCGTGCCAAAGGACACCGATTTCAGCATTTTCTTTAAGGTAAATTAAGCTCAGTGAGAGTTCCCTTGTGTCAGCACGGGAGTTGAGTCAACACTCGCCCGGCGACGCAGCCCGAATCTTGGACGAACGATAAAATGTTTACCCGGTATTAAGCATCGTTTGCATCTATTGTACACCGGAACTAATACTATTTTCACTAATACCTGATTGCTTCAATGAGAGAACGCGGTTTATGAAACAGAAGTGAAACTCTCATCAAATTTTGAATTTTTCCAGCGGTCTTGAGTCAATAAAACGAATCATTTCAGAGCGTTTTAAATGTTTGGCTCTGTCAAAAAAGGATATACATATGTGATAATGAATGTACGAATAACAGAAATCTGTCAATAATATTAAGCAAATGGAGGTAAAAGCGTACTGTATTTGGCATTTATTGCTAAGGTAAAATTTACTGCTGCTTGTCTAAATACATATCAATAAAAATTTACAAAACAACTGCGCCAAGAAGCGATTGTCTTAAACACACTCATCTTCACGCAAATAGAGCATATGAGAAGTGGTAATAAAATACGTGTTATCTCAGATATTTTATCACCATCTCGGTTCGAAATGACGTACTACGTTACATTTTTTAAGTAAAAATAGGGCGCAGTTGATACTTGATAATTTTCGAAAAGGGACTTTTCGAATAATCAGGCTGTAAAAGTAAGATTAAAAGCTGTAAAATTAATATTTCTAACTTGAGTAAGATTAACAAATTTAATTATCTGAAATAACTGCCATTTCATTCACGATATACTTGATAAATGGAAAATATAGGGGGAAAAAACAACGTAATGTGCATGACCTCAAATTGTGGTTATGAATTTCATATTTACAGATGGATCAGCTTATGGAGAAGTGTGTCACACAAGAAGTGTGTCAAACATAATACCAAAGATATGTAGAAGTTACGGACGTTTTTATGACCTCTTAAATAAACCACTTTCATATGTCTCTAAATCAGGGGCACGCGCATCATATAATACAGCTCAAGTTGTGCTTCTCCTGGAACTTTACTTCAGTATTTTGATTGTATAACCTGAATACTACATCGTCTTCGTCATACCTTATCAACGGGACAATGAAACGTCGAGATGTCAAGATACCCATTCTACACGCGACTCTTGCCTAGATGAACGAGATAAATACAGAGGAGAGCACGCACTAACCTCAATAATTCAGTAACCATGGCTGCCTTTGGGATGCTTCTTGTTGCAACACTGTTTCTTGTTCACCAGGTATGTAGAGATTCATGTCCTTAATTATTATGAATTGTGAAGAAATACTAACTTCCAGCAGTAAGCAAGACGATGAAATCGCAACATTCGCACTCGGATTTGTTTTCGATTTTAAGTTCCATATATCTAATACATATGGAATAATATAATGGCTTCTTCACTGTGCGACATTTTTTCCAGATGTTATAAAGTTTACTGTACTACGAAGTTATTGTCTACTACTTGTAATTTTCACAATTATTTATACAAATTATTTCGTGAGATGTATAAAGTAAACGTCACAATTTGGAGACAGAAATCAGTATTTCGATATTAGTTAAGAGGCTTGCTGCAATCAGTTTATCATAGATAATACCTCGAGAGCTTCTGAAATTGCCGATAAATCCCCGACTCCCAGAGCAAGGAGGGTATTTATCTGTTTCCAAAGCAAGAGTGGTACTTAATAGGACTATTCCAGCTCCAAAATGAAGTAAATATTGAAAATAACTGATATCATGTTAAAATCGAAGAAGTTATGTTATAGTACATACGCGGTTTATGTCACATCAACACAGCAATCGATACATACCGCCTCTTAAGGTAGACGAGACGAAGCTCATTATTGACTGGAGGGGAGGGTCGGTAAGAAAAAGCCGACAGAAATAGTTATAAATATTTGGAGACACTCCGCTCTGATTGGGGCATTTTATAGTATATTGAAACACTATTGGTTTTAATTTCACGAGTGGAATAGTCCTAAAAAGTTTTCATTTTATACCTTTATGTATACAATCAAGGTAATTAACAGGGGGAAAGAAATTTATTCTACGTTGACTCTGTACTCTTATGTTACTAATTTATTCCTTTTAAAACTAGTCACTTTGCGACCACTCATTTTTAATGATTTCATCTTTAATGTTTTCTATTAATTTATTCACAGTTAACCACGTGAGATTGACAAAACAGCTAAATTCGATGGCTTAGCCATTATCAATCATCGTTTTCATTTTTGCTGAGTAGTTTAATTCGGGAATGAACCATAAACCTATATCCGCTTCTTGGGATGTTCTTTTCTGTTATGCCTGGATGAATATTAACTTTTCTAAAGTTAAGAAATTCAGTAAACTTGAACTCTAGAATCAAACTTTGAGAGGTGACACTTCATTTTGTAAGGAAAAATGTCCTATGTGAATATATTCCAAAAGTCTAGTTTTTCAAAAAATTTTGAAAACTGACCAACTCATAAGCATCGGCAGTGTGGCAACAGAGAGTGCTGTAGGCGACATGGAGTCACAAGTAGTCTAGCGGGTGGGAATGGAGAGACGTACAATATGAAAATAATTGTTCGAGGAGACCATTATTTTAACCATGTATTTATTGTATCGTTTCTGTTTCTTACTGAGGAGCCAACTGTTAAGGTCAATTCTGTTGATAGAGTAGAGCTTATAGAATATGTGTAATTCTTTTAGTAATACCGCATTGCTGCGTTTTCAGGAACCCAAAGCCACTCAGAGCTGTTGGCGTTCGTTGCAGATCATTCAAATGCGTTGTCGCAAAACACAACGTGTGTGTTATATTCAAAGCAATTTTGTTGACTGGTTATTTCGTGTATCCGAGCGCGTCAACTACTAAGGTAGTTATTCCAATCAGTGTAGTGCATATATTTCCTCGGGATGTGGCGGTGATCTTCACCCATTGGATGGTGAAATCTGGCTCCGACTTACACGCCTGCTAGCGGGATTTCCCCATCCAGGTATCTCCTACCAGCGGGACACCGCTCCAGCCAAAAAAAGAAAGCCCTAAGCTCCCGACCGATCTTTCAACATGTGTGGTAGTGTAGTGCATGTATGTGTGCTAGATGTGTAATTAAGGGGGTGCATACGATAAAGAAGAGGAAGGAAAGATCGCGCGCGGTCCGTGGCCCGTTTGTTGGGGTAGTGGTGCGTCACTCGCTTGATGTTGATCGAAGAAATCATGAAAAACTACCCATCAGAGCAGCCGATCGCTAGAATTCTCCTCCAGACAGGCTGAAGTCGGCCTAGCTATGTAGCTACTTTCGAAAATCCTACCATCATCAGCACGCGAGCCCTAGGACTTCCGAGTCAGAGGCCCTGCAGTAACATCAGTTGAAGCCCTTAGTTGCCTAAGCCGGTGCAAGACTATTACTAATTAATATAATTTTTCCTAATATGGTAGTGTTGCAAACACATTTGAACGATACACGGCCAAAAGCACTAATAATGTACACAGCAGGATACAAAACTCGGCTATTACATCTGCTTACAAACTCGCAAAATCGCGTTCATTGTTTACACCTTAAATGCCTATTGACGTTAATAACTACAAGTGGAGCCGAATTCGACTGTTTCATATCGAAACATGACTTGGAAAATACGAAAGAGATTGTTTTAATAAGGTCCTCGGGTGACCACGGAGATTTTTGTGAAGCACTCTCGGATTCGATTCTCTGCCGGGGCAAAATTGAAGCTGTAGATTTCTCAGTCTCTCTTTCTACATCCGTGTGACGAAATAGAAGCTCAATTAGACCAAGTATGCTATTTACGATGGTAGAACAGGTCTCGTTCGCGCATATCTTCTAGGCGTAGATAATTAATAAAATCAGGGTCCAGGTCTGGGCACTCGTTAGCTGGCAAAAGTAGGATTAATCTGACTATGATTATTATCCTTCCCCCCCGCGTGGCGCGCGCAGGCAGCGGGGGCGGCGAGGTGCTCCGCGCCGTCCACGTCGGCGAGCCTAGTCTGCGACGACTCGTGCAACGAAGTGGGCCGGTGCCCGACGAGCGGCGTGTGGCAACGCACGCAGAACTGCCAGGCGTCGGGCGGCGTGTGCCGCTACGTCTCCAGCGGCGCCGCCCTCACCGCCACCTGCGTCACCGCCACCTCCTCCGAAGCCACCAGCGGCTACTGCAACAGCCTGCACGCCATCGACTGCCCCGCCGTCACCACCACCACCACCTTCCCCAGCCTCATAGACTGCACGAGCTACTACGTGTGCAAACCTGGAGACTTGCGGGTACGTATGTTTTTTTCGGGGAAGATGAGAAATAGACATTACTTATTCAATGTATGAGACAGGGTCACAGTATTTATTTACTTTCTCGCGTGCTACTACGTAGTATAGGGGAAAATACGAAAAAATGCAGTGAAAACGTGCTGCAAAAAAGAAGAACAGCAGAAATACTTTTTGGGGCCCTTTTCGGATATGTTTTCGCACCCGAAAAGTGGATAATTCTTGCTCTTTTATGTAGTAAATTACTTAACTAAATGTACTACAATTACAGAATCCACGTTTTGTAAATCCTTGATACCCAAAATTGATTTACGTATTAAGTTTGTATGTGAATATCACTCACGTCTAAACCAGGACTGATTTTTTCCAAAATTGAAATTCCACGATCGATCTGGCCAATGCCGCGTCCTTTAGAATTTGAAACTGGAATTTTCATGTATGGGGTTTCTTTACATTGCATCTCAGCATTTTCAATTTTTTATCAAAAATAACTTTTATATAAAAAAAATTCGTTGAATTAATATGAGTGTTGGAAAATTGCATGAAAAGAAGGATTTAATTCGTCTCTTCATCTTACTTTGTGAGGGACGAAAGTTATTTCCCGAGTCTGCGATTTCTTCTGAATATCCTGAAATAGTGTGTGTGTGTGTGTATGTGTGTGTGTGTTGCGCACGCGCAAGTGTGTAACTCTCTTGGATTTTAATAAGTCTAAAGAATATAATTATTTGCGCAAGTAGTGAACATTACGTATTCATACGAAATAATTGTATTGATAATTTAAGAAAAAAATAACTGAATGGAATACAATCTTTCTTGTTTGCCAAGCGAAACACCATATTAATGTTTAACATTGAACGCGAATTAAATACTTGTACTTACACCAGTTATATTTATTGTTATATTTTGTTGTAGATAAGTCCTTCACAGTGTGGCGGAAGATCGTTTAACTCATGTACAGGGGGTTGCACCGATTCTCTTACAAATGGCGCTTGTCCAAACACCACGACCACGTACTGCACTTATGTTGGTCAGGTACGTATGCAGGCATAGATTATTTTTTTTATTTTATACTCTATGGTTCAAATGACGGTAATATTTTCAAGAACTTGAAACGTCGAAAAAAGTAAAATGCAAAGTTCAATATATTAATAAATATCATTGAAGGAAATATAAAATCAGATACAAATATTTTCTCTTTGTTTCACATTTGGTTTGATGATTCTCCCAATTTTACTACCTCTATTATTAATTTTCATCATGCGCAGAAACCTTCGGCCATGTGGGAAGTACCTATTGTTGAGTTAGACAGCCCCAAACTCAGGAAAAACAAAAGCATTTATATTACTAATTTCCTAAGAACGCAAAAATGGACAGTCAAATATGCAACCTCCGGCCAATTGAAAGATATCTATGGAAAGTGTTTGTTAGATACCCAGGAAATCGGAAATATCCGAAAGAAATGAAGGAGTTTTTATTTTAAATGCAAAATGAAAATATTTGATTGAGTTATCGTACTTTTTCTCATACTGCTCGTACCGACTGAATTCTCATATTCAGGCGCCACTTCTGACAACACAGCTTACGTCATGTAAACATAATTTACGTGAGTATTTTGTTTGTTGTTTTCGATCAATGCGCTTGCTACTTCTTGGAAAACCAAATTGTGTTGTTTTGTTTATCAGCAGTTTTGCTGCTAAAAGCCATTTGTACTATACATATTCAAAGTCAATCGGTTATATCCTATTCTCTCAAGTGTGTACAATCAAATATCAATCCACTCGAGCCACTGGATTCCCTTCAGTTCAGTTCCATTCACGTCAATTCAATTGGTTATATCTTTCACAGATTCTATTCAATTGATGATTCAATGCAGAACTGTCCAATTCAACTCCGACAGTTCCGTTCAAACGGACAGAAATTCATTCCGAAAAAAAAAATGTGCACAGGTTGGCATCGCGCCGGGCAACGACGCCCTGCACTACAGATGCGACGGCAGCCTGCAGCCCGCGTGGGAAGCGTGCGGCGCGGGCGAGCGCTTCAGCCTGGCCGCCGGCGCGTGCGTCAACGTGGGCGCGGTGGCTACGTGCACCGTGTGCGCCGGCGCGGCGACCGTGCCCAGCCCTCTCCCGCACTCGGGCTCCGTCTGCAGCTTCCTGTGGTGCCACGCGCGAGACAACTTCGAACTGAGGCGCTGCCTGCCCGGCTGGTACTACGTGCACTCGGAGCGGGGCTGCGTTTACGACAGAGGAAACACCGCCAACTGCTAGTCGGAGCTTGAGAGGGTAGGCGACGCGTGACGCTTACGCGGGCGCAGAAATGGGGAAGCTTCTGATGGATTTGCATTTTGAACATCGTGTTCGACTTCTCTCTGCATCCGCTACGTGCCCCCATAAATACACGTTCCCCCATTTTATTTCTCAAAAAGGAGGTAAAGTGTATATTAGAGTTAATGTAGGAGAATTTGTTTCTATTTCTCTTTATAATATTCTACTCTCAAAATTTAACAATGCATTTATATTAAATGTGAAGTTAGAAATATGGTAATATATAGTCATTAGTTAATAGGTAAAGTATTTTAGAAAAAATATTATTTATGTATGAAGTATATCGGTGTACAAAGGATTAAATACTTTTCTTTTGTAATATGTAAGAATCGAAATATGTTAATAAATTCTTTGATACATATCTCATATTGTTGCATTTGAAATTATGATCTCTGCATATAGCTTTACTATCTAATAATATAATAATATTTTGAAAAAAGTGTTATATTTTAGGTACGTTCGTTCATTACGTCATTTGACCCTTAACATACTTTTGCCCAAGTGTAACATAAGACTTCGTTAATTTTTGTCCACAAATTTTTGCGCAGTCCTATACACTTCCTGTTCATGCGTGGCTCGGTGCCTGCTTTGTTGCTTCAAACAACTGAGGCACGCCGCGGAATTATAACAAATAGACAGAAACGAACTAAATGACGGACACTTACAGAAACCAATTTTAGTTGTTGCTTATTAAATTGTGTAATCGTTTTTAGATCATTCTTCATCTTAGTGGTTCTGCGGGTTATCGAGTGTTTTTAGGAGATATGAAACATCCCAAATATTGCTGCCTCAGCGTTAATGAGACAAATACCAAGTTAATGCCAAGTTTAAACAGTAAACACTGTCTATTATTTTCATCTTTCCATGTTCCTTTAGAAGCTTTTTAATTTATCGAATTGTTTAACCTCATCCTTCGAAAGTTTCATCTCAAGTATTTAATTTTCTTAGTAAGAATTTTCTTCATAAATTGCCAGTCACCCTCAACATGTCCTTAATAAATACTTAACAAAAGAGTCCTTAAAATAAATACTTAATAAATGAAACTTCAACATCTATGTGAACAAAAAAAAATCAGACGTTTTTAGCACACCGACAGACGTTCTTAGCATGATCTCCACGGACCCCACCAAACTACCACGACCACAACGCAATTAAACTTTCGCTTGTAGTGAAAATATAAAATAAGTTTTTCCCCCTCATTAATTATAATTAGTAGCTGTACGTGATAGTATATTCGTCAAAAATCAATTTCTTTTTAAATAATTGATTGAACATTTTATTAGTCAAAGTCAAATTGTGCTTCATAAGAATTATGTGTTATGGCATAAAAAACTGGTGACAATTTAATACCCAAGTCGTTGGTTCTTCGACTTGGAAGGATTTTGAATTCTCACCAGATAAAATTCGAAAAAGATAGAATAATGTTTTAAGGCTTCTAGGTAATCATTTCCATAGGTCCGTTCTAGAGAAAATAAATAAAACATAAGTGATCACGAGAGATACAAAGACATCCATATTTGAAAAAGCGCAGTTTGCTCACATTCATTTTGTTGGACTGTAAGAATTGGTCAACTTCGAGATAAGGTTAACTTTCATGTGACAGTTTCAGAAAGCAAATAAGGAAGGCGTAACAAGCGGCAGAACGAACGTTCATAACAAGAAAGTGAAAAATGATGAAAAGTGAAGAATGAGAAAAAATATTGATAATTCAGTTCCGTACAGCAAAGACGGGATATGATGTATCGATTCCGAGAGAATATAACACGTAACACAAATTTACAGTTTGTGGAACAGAACAAACAAATTGACTATGATAGAAAGCTATTCTTCAAAGTAACAACATATTCCTAACTAACAAGAGACGATTGTCAGTGTACAGCCAAATATGTGATCGTTCTGGTTCTTACGTCCTATAGAAGCTCAATTCGAGATGAGCATTACGAAACAATATAAACAATACTACTGATCGCACAAAATTTACTGAAATAATTTTATAAAAACTGTGTAGGCTCGTGCATTAATGGTCAAATAATTTATCATTCCAATATGATAAAATAATTTTGTCACGAGTTATGGGTTGCATTTCTTCCATTCTAGTAACAAATCATCTTTAAGATTGCAAATAAAGATTTACAACATTTAGAAAACTGCAATTTTTTACTTTACTATTACGTTATTATATTAACTCAACTATAAATTTACAATCAGAATCATTTAACCAATCATATTTTTAATCAAATTACGTCACTTTCTCAGAAACGTAAATAATTATTCTCTAAACGACAATGATGTGCTCATAGGTATCATAACGTAATAATTAAGTCAAATCAAAATTTCATGTCAAGAAACGGAGAAATCGAACTATAGAAGTTACGAGTTTCATAGCAAATACATAAAACACATGCAGCATATTCTGAGCAGAATTCAGCCGTACGTCAGAAACATTTTAAAATGAATTATTATTTAAATTTACTTTTATTATTTGCTCTTCTGAAAACCTCAACAAATAGAAGCCAAGATATTGTTTCAATATATGTTGTCGGAGAAGATACAATTATTTTAAAAAAAGAACCGCTGACAATCCACGATAAGAGTGTGACTTCCATGGACGATGCAGAAGTACAAACAAGCACAGAAACGTCATATAATGGTAAGTGACTGTTATGACTTAAGTTACTGAGTAGTGGCGTAGTAATTTAGTCGTGCAATTTAACTAAGTAGTGCAATCTTTCAAAATAAACGTTATGCTCATTGGAGTATTTGGAATTCTCTATTATTTACTTAATTTTATAGTCAACTTTTTGTATATACGAGTAACTTAGAAAAGTGAATAATACAATGAGAAAATAATGGATTTAACCTTGGTGAAGGACACACCTAGCAGCCAATTTTATTTACCAGTAAGACATTTCCTTTATCCTGGTGTATTAAGCCTCACGCATCACAGTGATTTGCTTTAATCTACACAGCAACTTCACAAATGAGGCACAGTAAAATTGAGCATGGTTCAGAAAGCTATTCTCACACGTGTGCCATCAATATACAAAAATAATACTGCAGACCGAAGATAAACAGATTAGGTTGGGTCCACTACCGTTTCCAGATCATCTTATATCTGCCCTTTCAAAATCTCTCGCCCCCTCACTAGCACTGCGCAACCACACGAGTCGAGAGATCGGAGTCGGGGCTTAGAGCTTTTCAGGAAGAGAGACCCGCCTGGAAGGGACTTCACAAAGCTCTCATGTTCCTGTCGCGTAGGAACACCGCCATCTCCCGGGGTATACGACTCCCTCAAACTGTGATAGGCTCTTTCTAAGCAATAAACGCTCACAAATGAATAGATTCTATGAAAACACGAAGCATTTTAGAGATATATCTATTTTAACGAAATATGCAAAATGTGTTCCTATAATTACTCGAATTTGCACAAACTGTAAAAATCCGGCAAATATATACAAATATTCACTAACATATTAATCTACAAAGCAACCGATTCTAACCAAACATAAAGAAATTTCACTTAGCCATGGCCTAAAACAACGGATAAAAACACGGAAAATCATAGAAATCCGCTCCCTATTCATTACACTTGTTCATAACAGGAATAGTTGACGGAGCTGAAACCCGTTCTCGGTCAATGTCATCATGTCACACGCCATCCTATACTCGCACGCTCTGCCCGCAAGCCGCCAGGCCGGGGCGGGGGCTGCGCGGGGCCGCGGCGACGGAGAGGCCGGGGGCGCTCGCAGCGCTGTGTGCCCTGCGCCTGGCCGGCCGGCCGCGCACGCTCTTGCTGGAGAGAGGCGACGCTGCGCCGCCGCAGCTGCTCAGGGAGATACACGCCGTCGGTACGCCACTGATGGTAGCCGGGGACACACGGCTGCCGCCAGACGGTAAGTCGTCGTCATCATCATCATCATCATCATCATCATCATCATCATAATCGTTGAATTGTTTAATCTACTTAGTCTCTAGCGTATCGGCTAACGCTCCCAGTCTTCGGTGAACTCCATTGCATTTTGAGTACCTTCGGAACCCTTGCACGTAGTCCCAACTTCATCTCATAACAATATCTCATACAAACACCACGTCCATTCAGTACAACAGTTCTACACGCCACCACCAGCCACCGCTCATATGTTTTGACTGCCAAAAACCATGGCGTCCTTCACGGGCGCTGAAACCACAAGTTCAGCCACTCTGTGTAGTGCATTCAAGCTCGTTGACTTCAGCGGCCCTTAACAAAAGCCATGCCGCGGCCATTGTGGCAGGTGTGTGGGCGGAGGACCCGCGCCAAAGACCCGGGGCGGTGCTCATCCTGCCGTCGCCCACCGCAGGCGCTCCGCTGCCGCCGGCGCGGTCGCGCTGGCCGCTGGGCGCGCGCCACGTCGTCGTGTTGCCCGAAACTGGGACCGCTCGCCCTTCGGACGACGCCGATAGCGCCACAAGTGCTACCAGCGCCTCGCGAGTCCCTAGAGCAGTTGACGCCAACGGAAGCGATCGAGCGCACGGCGTCCGTGACGCCAGGCTCGGTGGAATTGGTGCCGATAGTGCAGATGGCGTCCCCATTAAGGTAATTGTCTACCTCCGTATTGAAAAAATTCGTGTTTTTCAATTTCTATTGAGTCGTATGCTGTTTTATTATCTTTGAAGTACTTTAAACCGTTTCTCGTTGCGTTTCTTAATTTTTAAGAAAATTTTTTTTTTTCGAAGACAGTGCCAACTGTCATGCCCTCAGTGAGTGAACTTCAGACGCATTTCCCGAATTGGAAAGTTTCAGCACATTTAAGTTTGTCGAACATCATAAATCATAAACAATTAAAGATAATATAATTCTTTTTCCAGTATGTAGCACATGATTTACTCTAGAGAATGAACTCGAATAATTAATGTCACTAAAAGTTTCACATTTGTGATCTGAAATATCCAGAATAAATTTATAA